GGAGTAGAGAAAGAGAGAGACATAGAGACAGAAAGTGAGAAATCACCTCCCAGGGGTGATGGCCATGCCGCAATCCCTTCTCCTCTGTTTTCCTCTCGGGATCTTGGGCACACATGCACACGCGTCTGGAGTGAGTTTTAAGCCACTGGGTCCGGGAGCGAACCGCAGTCAACTACATGGGAGTCCAGCGACATAGCCATTACGCTAACTGCTGGTCTCCCATATTTATTTATTTATTTTCATTTGACCAGAGAGGGATAGAGTGAGAGAGAAAGGAAGAAAGCGAGCCGCCAGGTCTGGGACTCAAACTGGATTGGCCATGTGGCAGTGCAACGGCCCCCAACCACCACGCCACCTGCTGGCTCCCACAGTACTGTCTTTTTATGACTGGTTTATTTTGCTTAGCATAATATTGCAGAATTTCTTTCCATTCTAAGGCTGAATGATATTCCATTGTACATTAATACCACATTTTGTTTACCCATTCATCCACTAATAGACACCTGGGCTACTTTCACATTTTGGTTATTGTAAATAATGCTTCTGTGAACACAGATATATACATATCTGTTCAAATTTCTGCTTTCACTTCTTGGCTATATACCTAGAAGTGAAGTTGCTGGATTATCTAGTAATTCCATGTTTAATTTTTTTGAGAAATCACCACACTATTTTCTATAGTGATTGTATCATTTTCCATTCCCTCTAGTATTACACAAGGAAGGATTCTAATTTCTCTACATTCTCACTAACACTTGTTATTTTCTGTTCTTTGATTTTTGAGAACGGTTATCTGAATGGGTGTGAATTGTAGTTTTGATTTGCATTTCTCTAGTGATTAGATTTTTTTCTCATGTGCTTATTAGCCATTTTCACTTTTCATGTTTGGAGAAGTATGTGTTCAAGTCCTTGGCTCATTTTAAAAATATGTTTTTGTGTTGCTGGTGAGTTGTAGTTCATTATACATTCTGGATATTAATCTCTTATTAGATATATGATTTGCAAACATCTTCTCCCATTCCATTGGGTTGTCTTTCACTCTATTGATAGTGTTCTTCGATGCACAAAAGTTTTAAATTTTGATGCTGTCCTCCAATTTATCTGTTTTTTCTTTTGTTGTTTTTGCTTTCAGTGTCATATCTGAAAAAATCATTGTCAGTGCCATCAAGCTTTCTTCCTCTATATTTCTTCTAGAGAGTATACAGCCTTAGTTCTTACATTTAGATCTCCAATCCATTTGAGTTAATTTCTGTATACAGTGGAAGGCAAGAACTCAACTTCAGTATTTTACATGTGGGTACCCAGTCTTACCAGCATCTTTTTGCTTACTCCATGGTATCCTTGCTGAAAATAATTTGACTACAGATATGAGGGTATTTGTAGGCTCCCTATTCTATTCCATGGGTTTATATGTGTGTCTTTATGCCAGTATCACATTCTTTTGATTATAGTAGCTTTGTAGTAAATTTGGTATCAGAAAATTTGAGACCTCTAACTTTGTATTTCTTTTTCCAAGTTTGTTTTGACTATCTAGCCCCCCTAAAATCCCATTTGAATTTTAGGGTGAAATTTTCTATTTTTGCAAAAAACACCATTAGGATTTTGATAGTGATTACACTGAAGCTGTAGAGTGCTTTGGGCAGCATTAACATCTTAACTATATGAAGCTTTCCAATCCATGAATATAAGATATCTTTTCATGTGCTAAGTCTTCTTTAATATCTTTTAGCAACATTTTGTCATTTTCAGTATATAAGTATTCTACCTCCTTGGTTAAGATTATACCTAAGCATTTAATTCTTTTTTTTTTTTTTTTTTTTTTTTAGGAGAGGTTTTTGCTAGAGGGCACATGAGCTCACCAAAAAGACAGAGAGAGACGGAGAGACAGAACATGAGAAATCACCCCCCCCGGGGGGGTGGGGAGGTGGCTATGCTGCAGTCCCTTCTCCTCCATTCTCCTCCTGGGATCTGGGTCATGCATGCACACATGCCCAGCATGAGGTTAAGCCACCAGGTCCAGAACTCGAACTGCGGTTGACTACATGGGAGTCCAGTGACAGAGCAATTATGCCAACCGCTGGTCCCAGAATTTAATTCTTCCTGATATTATTGTATATGGATCCTGGACAAATTCTAAGTTGAGGTCAAGAGGCCTTGCAACTTCTGTTCTCACCCTCTTGGAAGTCTGCTGACAGACATGTCAAAACCCTAGGCCTGCCTGATGGGATTGTATGACCCAGTCAACAGTCAGTACAACTGCATCATGAGTGAAATCATTTTAGAGAGACCATTCAGCCCAGTTCAACTGATGATGACTGTAACTATTTGAGAAACTCCAGACGAGACCAGTAGAAGAATTACGTAGCTGAACCTAGCCACAATGTTAACCCACAAAATTATAAGCAAATAAAATAGTTACTTTAAGTCATTAAGTTTTGGGGTAGTAACAAAGATTAACTGAAACAGCTTTAAATAATTTTATTTGCTGTTTCTTAACTGATAATTTATTCATTATTTTGTTGCTCATTTCAAACTGCTTCCCAGTGACTACTAAGATTTATTCCAACTGAGACAAGACAGTGTTTTTAGATGCTAAATACTCTACATTATTTATCGTGTTCATTAATGATTTAAAGCTTGAGTGTCAGCATTCTAAATAATTTATAATTTTTTAAAAAGTAGATAGCTTAAAATGATATCTTACCGTGTATAGAGAAATACACATTTTATTTTCTAATATTTTAGTCCAATTTTGAAAAAACAGTAAGTAGATACTATAGTTAATGTTTCAGGCCATCTTGTAAACTATATTGCTAATATTTGCTGGCAATTAGTACTAAATTTATTGGGGATAGATTTTGAACCTTTATTATCTATTAGAAACTCAAGGGGACCAGCAGTTGGCATAATGGCTATGTCACTGGACTCCCATGCAGTCGATCGTGGTTCGAGTCCCGGACCCAGTGGCTTAAACTCATGCAGGGTGCACGTGTGTGCATGCCCAAGATCCCGAGAGGAGAATGGAGAAGGGATTGTGGCATGGCCATCCCCCACGGAGGGGAGGGGTGTGTGATTTCTCTCTTTCTGGCGAGCACATGTGCCCTACAGCAAAAACCTCTCCAAAAAAAAAAAAAAAGAAAACTCAAGTAATAGAAAAGTTCTTAAAAAATATTCATAATACCAAAGTATTAACAGTCATGTCTCAGATAACTTTATTATTTAAAGTTTAAAGACATACATTTATCTAAAATTTGTTTACTTAAAAATGTATTTATTACTATAATCATAAAGGATTATAGTTATTTAGAATAAAATCTTCCAGAACAATATGTAAAAGTAACATTATAAAACATACTAAAGCAATAATTTACTCCATAAAAATTCTTATTCCATTAAAGAATTCATTTTGATAGTTTACTCTCTAAAGTTCTGGAAACAGCTGCTTTATAATAGTTCATCTGGGAACAAGCAGATAGCGTAATAGTTACATTGCTGAACTCCACATAGTCAACCATGGTTCAAGTCCCAGACCTGGCACCTTAACATTCACACTGGGTGTGAATGCATGCATGCCCCAAATCCTGAGAGAATAGAGAAGAAAGTATTGCAGCATGGCCATCCCTCTGTAGGGGGGTGATTTCTCACTTTTTTGTCTCTGTCTCTCCAGCAAGCACATGCACCCAATACCAAAAATCTTTCCTAAGGAAAAAGAAAAACAAAAAAAAGAGGGGACAAGCAGATGGTGTAATGGTTACGTCACTGGACTCCAACGTGGTCGACCATGGTTTGAGGCCCAGACATGGTGGCTTCAATCTCACGCCAGGCATGTGTGTGTGTGCATGTCCAAAATCCTGAGAGAGGAGTACGGAGAAGGGACTGCAGCACGGCCATCTACCCTAGGGAGTGGTTTTTCACTTTCTGTCTCTCTCTCTCTCTCTCTCTCTGTCTCTCCTGCAAGCACACGTACCCTACAGCAAAAATTTCTCTAAAAAAAACACAAAAAACAAATAGTTCATCTGTACTCCATGCATTCTTTAAAAGAAATAAATAAGAAGAAGCAGGGCAAAAGAAATAAAAAGAAAATGTAACAAAACAAGGAAAAAACACAATTTTATATTGAAGTTTATATGCTAACTGGATTTATGACTATTATTTCTGACAAACCAAGTAGAATTAACACTTAATCAAGCAGAAACTATTCAGTTAACTTCCAAAGTTGGTATAAATTTCTCAAAGTCTATGCTATAAACACTTTTGCATTATTTATTTTGGTAACTGGGTTTACTGATATATCAGAGAATTTCATATTTGCATTATTAAAAACATTTTTTGAAAGAGCTGTCATTTTACTGGGTTATCGGAGAAATCATGATGTATTTTTCTATGCAAAAATGTATAATGATTTTTCAGATGACCCAATAAGTCTTAAGTATTTCTCTAAATTTGAGCAATGAATTACTTAACTATAAGCAATTATTTACATTCCTCTGCGAGTATATTTCTACATGCAAACTACAATTTCACTATTCTACTACCCACATATATGGCTATATATTAAATATTAATATATAGTCTACAATTTTATAAATACAAACAGTGAATATATTATACATATACTATGTTTCACAATATGCTGATAAAATACAGAAAGAGAAAACAAATGAGAGAATTAAATGTACTTACAAAGTCAAAGTCTCCATCTTGAGGAACTTTCCAGTTATCAGGAAAAACATTTTTGGACATAGGGAAGGGTTCGTGCATGTTCTGATTACAGTTTTCGTGAGTCTTATTCTTGAAGTCCTGCTTATCAAAGTAATCCATGAAAGATGGTCTTTGTACTTGTGGTGAAGTTGCATTCCCTTAGGTAAACAAAGAACAAAAGGAAGGTATAAGCTCTTATATTTAAAGAAGGATGATTTTTAAATGAAGCATGACTTTTTATTGCCAGAGCGCATGTGTGCTCACCAGACAGACAGAGAGAGAGAGAAAGAGGGAGAGCACACAGTCAATGGAACGTAGTTATGGTCATGCCACAATCCCTTCTCCATCCTTTTGGGAACTTAGTCACATGTGCCGGGTTTATTCAAACCACAGTTAGCCATGTAGGATCCAGCTTCCTTAACCATATGGTTATGGGACTAGCCCTGAAACATGATCTTTTTTTTTCTTTTTAAGTTTATTTATTTTCTTCAGAAAAAGAGAGAAACTGCTCCCCTAAAAAGTTCCTGATATTGCGATCTACCCTACCCCCACCCCCAGGCTCAGCCAGTCCTGGATTATGGGCATATGTGTGCCTGGCATACCCAGGGACGTCTCTGGACACAAACCCGGAACCTTCCAATGTGAGTTAGAGTCACAGTGTTGGATTTTACTGCCATCTGACCCTCTGAAATATGACTGAGCTGTATAATGAATTTGTGCCAGTAACATTCAAGGCCAAAATAGCCCATTTCATGAAGAACAAAGTAAAATAAAATAATATATATACACACATATATATGAATAATAATGGTCTAGAATATTCTTGAACTATAGAAAAACTTCAGAATTTCAGCAGATACTTAAAAGTAATTTTATTAAAAATCATTTCATTTGCTGGGGCCAGCAGGTGGCATAGTGATTAAGGTGCTGGACTCCCACGTGGTCAACCACAGTTTGAGTCCCAGACCCGGCAGCTTGAAGCATACCAGGCACGTGTGTGTGTGTGTGTGTGTGTGTGTATGTGTGTCCAACACCATGAGAGAATAGAGGAGAAGGAATTGCAGTGTAGTCATACCCCCTGGGGGATGATTTCTTGCTTTCTGTCTCTTTGGTGAGCATGCACACCCTATAGCAAAAATCTCTCCAAAAAATGAAAAAAATTTTGGGAACCAGCAGTTAGCATAATGGCTATGTCGCTAGACTCCCACGCCACTTTGTCCACCGCGGTTCGTGTCCCGGACCCGGTGGCTTATAACTCATGCCGGGCGTGCGTGCGTGCATGCCCAAGATCCCGAGAGGAGAATGGAGGAGAAGGGATTGCGGCGTGGCCATCCCCCCTGGGGGGTGATTTCTCGCTTTCTGTCTCTATGTCTCTCTCTGTCTGTCTGGCGAGCGCACATGCCCTATAGCGAAAACCTCTCAAAAAAAAAATCATTTAATTTGCATTTGAAATTTGTCAAAGTAAATTTTAAAATTCGTTTTTAACGTTTAAGTCTGCATTGTAATTGTCATCGTACACTATCAACTATAAGAAATTGTAACGGCTTTTCTCATGGAATTCCATGATTTTTCCTGTACATTTATATCTGTATCTTCCTATGCAATTTCTCCAGCCCAGACCTTGTTCCTAAATTCTGTATTCGACTTTGCAACTGCCTGCTATTGGGCTGCTCAATCTGAAGTAAGTTTACATTACCAGTTAACTTATCTTTCCCCTCAAACCTGTAGCTCCTCTGATATGCTCTATCTCTGCTAAACTCAAAATCATTTACTCAGCCCCAAAAGTAATTAAATAATTAAATCAGATCCCTCCCTTACCATCATATTAAACTGATCATGAGATCTTTTTATTTCTACCTCTCAACAGAGTTGTTTAAATCTAATTTTCTCTATTCACCATTGCTACGGCCTTAATTTAGTTTCTAATCATTTCTTGCCTAGCATATTCCAGCAGCCTCCAAACTAGTCTCCTTTGTTCTAGAATCCCAGTTTTTATTTGAATTTTCCATACTGTCAGCATAGCGACCTTTCTACATTCAAATCAAACCATTCCATTCTTTACATGGAATCTTTCAGTGGCTCCTCATTTTTTATGCCGAACAATTAAAGTGAAAGACATTTGGAATCTGGCTGTTTTGGTCTTGATCAGTGGTTTTCAAACTGGATTCCTTACAGCCCTAGGGTTCCAAATAAACATCTCAGAGACCACCAAGAAGGCACTTCCATATAACTCTCTGCATAAAAAGCTATATTCTTAAAAATTTCCTGTAAGGAATACATCTCCCCCCATGAAAGCCTATTAGGCAATTCTGAGTTACAAAAATACATTTTCAAGGTTGAAACGGAAATCTGTTCGACTGTAATTTACACTTGTGTTCCAAATAAACTCCTCTTTCATATACTTGTCCCTCAAATATCTGAAGACAGAGGTGATGGCTCCCATCTTGGCTTTCTGTTTTTCAGATGAAGCAGCCCAAGCTCCTTCTATGTTTTCAGACTCATCACCATCTTTTGTACTTGTTTATGGAAACATTCATCTCTGTGTTCCTTTCAAATGAGACATAATATTCATAATGATCTGGCCAATTAAAATTGCAGTTAACACTACGACAACTAAGTAACACTGTTGGCTTACGCGATAAGGTCATTTTGGTCAACAGAATGCATGCTAAAACCTTTATCGTTTGTCATTATGATGAATCTGCGCTGACAACTATTTTGAAAGTCCAATGCGCTACAGAGCCAATGTGCCACAGTGTCCACTGATGTCTATTTCACAAGTTGGTTCAGAGAGTATGGAATTCTGTGCCTGAAGAAAAAGGGGGATGGCAAGAGGGGAAACTGTCAGGTTAGTATCCTATCTCCTCTCCTCCTGTTTCAGATTTCTATTATTTGACAGATTAGGAGTTTTGGCAAATTTGCTTATAAGAGGATAGTAATGGTATTTATTCATTTTTAATATGTCATTGTCTTAAACTTTTCCTTATTACAGTATAATTTTTATTGACTTCACATCGATTATGTGTTTATTTAATTGTGGTAAAATATGCCTAACATTACATTTACCATTTACTTTAGGCATGTACCCCAAAGAACTGAAAGTAGGGTCTTATAACCCATGTTCATCACACCATTATTCACAATGGCTAAAACATGGAAGCAATCCAAGTGTTCAAGCACAGATAAATGGATAAGCAAGATGCAAGGAAGAAAATGCTGCCACATTTTAAAACCCAGATGAACCCCGAGGACGTTATGTTAAGTGAAATACATTAAGTTACAAAAAAAAAGGTAAACACAGGCCAGCAAGTGGCATGGTGGTTAAGGCACTGGACTCACACATGGCCAACCCTGGTCTGAATCCTGGATCTGTTGGCTTGCTTTCTCTCTCTCTCTCTCTCTCTCTCTCTCTCTCTCTCTCTGTGTGTGTGTGTGTGTATGTCTGGTGAGTGCACATGTACTGTAGTAAATTAAAGAATAATAATAATGATAGATAAAATTAAAAAATTAAAATGAAAACAAAAAGGCAAATACTATATGATTGCACTTACATGAAGTACTCAAAGTAGTCAAAAATCACAGAGACAGAAAGTAGAACGCTGGTTGTAAGGGGCTGGGGGAGTAAGAAATGGGAAATTAGTGTTTAATGGGTACAGAGTATCTGTAAGAAATGGGGAGTTAGTTTTTAGTGGGTGCATAGTATCAGTTTTACAAGATGAAAACAGTCATGGAGACAGAAAATGGTGATGGTTCCCAGAGCATAATGAATGTATTTAATCTCACTGACCTGTATGCTTAAAAACGTTTCAGGTCCAGCCACTATGCTGCTGCCTGGCAGGCTGAGGTCACGTGAGAGGCCCATACTAAAGAGCCACTTTCATCCCAGAAAGGGAAGCTGAGGCAGGAGAAATGCCCTACAGCAAAATCCTATCTAAATACCCCATACATCACACACACACACACACACACACACACACATTAAAATGGTAAATTTTATATTATATATATTTTACCACAATAAAAAAACTGGAAAATAATTTTTCATCTTAAAATGAACTTTTAAATGTATTGTTCAGTAGTATTACTGTGCGACCAATCTGTAACTCCTTTGATCTTGCAAAACTGTCTTTAAACTCTCGATTTTCAGGACTAGCAGTTGGCATAATGGCTATGTTGCTGGACTTCCATGTAGTCGACCACGGTTCAAGGCCAGGACCTGGTGGCTTAAACTCACACCAGGCATGTGTGCATGTGTGCCCAAGATCCTGAGAGAAGAATAGAGAAGAAGGGATTGCAGTGTGGCCATCTCTCCTGGGGTGGGGAGGGTGGGGGTGGAAATGGGGTGATTTCTCGCTTTCTCTCTGTCTTTTTGGCAAGCACACGCACGCACCTCATAGCAAAAACCACTCAAAAAAAAAAAAAAAAAAAAACCTTCCCAATTTTTTCCTTCCCCCAGTCCCTGGCAACCACCATTTTACCTTCTGCTTTTATAATTCTCAATATTCTATATACTTTATGTAAGTAGAATTGCCGTAGTACTTGTCTTTTTTAGTACAGTGCCCACAAGGCTGACTCGTTTTGCAGCACGTGCCAGAATTCCTTTCCTTTTCAGGGCTAGATGATATTTCATTGTATGTGTTCACCATATTTTGTTAATCTAATCATCTGCAAATGGACCTTTGGGTTCCTTCCATCTTTCGGCTATTGTGAATAATGCTGCTATGAACGTGGGTATGCAAATATCTCTTAGACTCCTTCTGATTATGTGTTTTTTTACGAGCCAGTTTTTTCTTACTGCAAGTGATTTTATTCTTAAATATCTACACAGAGGCCTTTTTAAATTTTACTATTTTTCTTTCCTTTTAAAAATTTATTTATTCCATGAACAAGAAAGAGACACAGATAGACAACATCCCCAACAGGATCTTAATGCCATAAATCCAAACCCAGTTTCAGCAGTCCTGGATTATGGGCACAGACATGGCCAGCACACTCAGGGAGGTCTCTGCACACGAACTCAAAACCTTCCCACATGGGTCAGTCTCACAGAATGTGGCGTTCTACTTGTTTACCACAGTCTGGCCCCCTTCTTACAAATGTTTTGATGGGTGAGCCTAATCTGTGATCTAATGAATTATTATGATAAAATCTAAACACA